AAGAATTGGAAATAATGATCATAGTAGTGGTAAATGCAAGAACCTTATTTTCATTTTGAAATGGTTTTCCTCATTTTCTTGATAGCTCACCACTCAGTTTTTTCCCTTAATCAATACCTTGTTCACTTTTTTGCCAAACACTCTATCAATATTTTTGTTGTTATTTTAATCTGCTGTCCAACTAAGCATCATTTCCCTGTTATAGTACATCTATCCCCTTAGAACATTACATCATACCTTCAATAAACTCCATAGATTTAATTCCCCCGATCTAAAAAAAAAAAATAATAAATAGTCTATTGAATTCAGAGATGATGCCTGTCATTTACTTTAAGTGACAGACTATGTTTCTACGTAAGGTGACAAATATATATTCAGCAAATAACATACTTTCAGGCAGGGTCATGGAAGGAAAAACAATCTACCAAATATTCTGCTTCAGTTGTGATTCAGTTCTGTTTTCGTTCTTTCCACTGTTTTCTCTCTTCATTGAAATTCTTGTCATTCTCTTATTGTTCAGATTGTTTCATCTTCCTAAAATCATATTTCCTTTGGCATTATCCACTAACCATCCATAGAACAAACTTTGTATATCATTTTAGAGACAAGTGACACCTATCATTCATACAGTGCTGACATAAATAATGGAAGTTATACGCACAGAGCAATAGTTTGAAGGCAAGTAGGATAATGTGAATATTAAATAAGTCAAATAGTGATTTCTATTTGCATCATACATACTTCTATTTCTAAGTTTCCAGACTCAGGATACACTAAATAATAAAGTAGAAATCCTAAAACTGCATTTTGTTTTGCCAGGAATGCTGAGCACTCCTTTTGGGTTGTTTGAATTACCTTTTAAATGCTCCTCTCACCAGGTTCATTTCCCTTAGATTCTAGTTAGTAGATCTGCCATGGCTAGGAAAGAATCTGGATTATAAAGAGTTCGCAAGCCAGAGTTAACTCTGTGATTCAGTTATTACAATTCTCCTGGGCCCCAATGACTCAATTCCCCTGCACTTTGCATAAAGCATTTTGCAATTAGAACATGTTGGAAGAATTCGTTTGGAAGGACATATCCTTTCCACATTCTCTATTAACTTGACAAGAGGACATCTCTAGCCCTTGTGGTAGATAATGGTGTTCATCTTTCCTCCAAACTGTATTACTGTGTACTTTGAGAGAATTAGAATGGATTTGGGTTTATTTACAAGTATTTTTATAGTAGAATTTCAGAAGACAATAACTGAATACACTTTAGTATTATTTTGCACAGGTAAATACATTTTGATTATATAATTTAAACATAAAGGTATACTTAACGCATTTTAATTTTTTCACAAGTCCACATGCCACTTCCAGTTGTGGTCCTGTTTTCTTTTTCTTCTTTCATATCTCTATCAAAGTTAGAATTAGTTGGCATTGTACTGTGTGACTAGAATAAACTACAGCAAATGCACACTGAACACTGACTGTGGTGAATGTACTAAACGTTCTTGTGTAATCTAGTGATCCAGTGAAATGGGCACTGAGTGTCCTTATCTTACTCATGAGAAAATCCTATAAGAAATAGGATAGCCTCAGCCTGCCAGAAAGTAGGAAGTTACCCCTTAACATCAGAAGAATGGCTAGTTCTGGGGAGTGAGGCCTGAAACAGACAGAGGGTTGTTGGGGATCGCAGCAGTGCTCTAGCTCTGATACAAATGGGGGCTGCAGAACTATTTCCATTGCAATTTTCTCTTACATTTTTTTCAAATTTCTTTATGTAATATATTTAGTGATTTGAAGGTATGAAAAATATACATCAGTCATAAACCACCTCCAGCACAATGAACCTACCCTGAGCAGTATGTGAGATTTACTTGCTCCCAAAAATTAATTAGAAATATATACTAGGGATTTTGTGTGGGTGTATTCAATTTCCTGTACCCAAGAGGAAGTCTATTTTAACACATTATAACACTTTTCTGATAGAAGCCTCCTCCAACCCGGGTGATGTTTCTACAATTATTGCTCTTTTTAACACAGAAGAAAATCTTCCATGGAAGCCTCTCAGAGCTTTTCCTTTACTGGCTCTGTAGGAGGCGCTGCGTTGGGGCCTCTGACCCGGAAGCACTTCAGACTTCCTTCCTGATCCAGGAGAAACATTTGCTCTCCCACATTATTTTTCCTCCAAATAGAAGATAGTCAAACTTCCCTTTCGATTTTGCATTTTTCAAAATTAAATTTTTTTTGACAGGCAGAGTGGACAGTGAGAGAGAGAGACAGAGAGAAAGGTCATCCTCAAAATTATAAATTTTAATATCTATTAGGATACTTCCAAATGTTTATGTTAAAAGAGAATTTAAAGATAAATATATGTCCCACCAATTTTCATATCAAAGTGTTTTTTCCATAATACACATTAAACATAAATTTTGATGATCCTTGATATGCACACATTTCAAAATTTTAACACAAAATAATCATCTTCAGTCCTATTTTCCCAGAAGGCTTTGAAATTTCCTCATGTATAATTATGTTATCCTTCCAGCAAGATACAAGCACTATGAAAGTATATATATTCATATATATATGTATATATAAATACTGTTCTAATATTTCTTCTTGGGTATTAAATACTTAAAGGAAAATACATTACCAAAGAAAATCACTATCTTTGTGATATAATGCAAAAGTTTTAAACAATTTCTGTTCCAATATATATTGGCATCAAGAAAATGACAAATAAGTATTCACTTCCCTTGCTCACAGCATCAGTCAAAGCTGGAATCAAAAGCTGCTCTGGTAGTGGTTTCATTACAAATTTGTAATAACTTCAGTAAAATCTGCATGACTGTGAACCCAAACGAGTTAATGATAACTAATCAGACATAGCACAGCAAAAGATGCCAGAGTGACAGGCACCTATTCTGTAAAGGGTGATTTGATGCAGTCCAAAAATATCTACCGGAAGTCACTCATGGAACACATTTTTCACAGGCAGAATAGGAGAGACTCTGGGTGACTCTGAAGGTGTTAAGCGTGCTCTCATTCATATCCCTGTCACAAACCTCAACTTTAGTAGTTTGGGAGGATCTACTCTTAATCATGTTTCATTGAACAATATATTCTCCTTGGATGCCTTTTTAAAGAAGATAGTGAAGAAGGCAACAGCAGCAGTAAACATCACATTCAGAATAATGAAAGTTGTTGTAAAACTTCCATTGTACATGTTTAATGCCCTAAGAAATAATAAGTCCATTTATCTTAACCACCCATCTATTATATTTCACATGCAAATTCAATTTATCATTTCATTTTAAGTGATATTGATGTTTTATCTCAGTTGTATACTGTAAATGAAAACAAAATCCATAAGATGCCCACAAGTTTATTGATTTGACAAGAGTCATGCAGTAAATAAATGGTAGACCAGCATTTAAATCAAGATTAATAACTTGATTCTTTGTTCATTTTCTCTTTCCACAAATGCTTTTAGAGGTGACTTTTGAAGAGAGATACAAAATAGATCAATTATTTATGTTCCATTTCTCCTAAGATGTTATATTGACTCATCTTTTGTGAAATAGTTAAACAACAAGAAAAATATTTTAGAAAATTTGATTAAAAAGAAAATGCAGGTAGTCAATATCATTAATACAAGATAAGTGGGAATAACATTTACCATTCTCAGTCTTCCTCTGAAACATGTGGTCATTGCTACATTGTCTTCTTTTTGAAAAAAAAATATTTTATTTATTTGAAAGGCAGTTACAGAGAGGCAGAGGCAGAGAGAGAGAGAGAGAGAGAGAGAGAGAATCCATCCACTGGCTTACTCCCCAAATGTCTTTAATGACTGGACTGGGCCAGGCCAAAGACAGGAGAAAGAAGTCTCCTCCTGGACTCCCATGAAGGTGCAGTGCCCTAAGGACTTGGGCCATCCTCCACTGTCTTCCCAAGCACATAAGGAGGGGAAGGGATCAGAAGTGAACCAGCCCAGGACCTGGACAGATGTCCACATGGGATGCTGGTGCTTCAGGCCCTGGCTTTAACCTGCAGTGCCACAACACTTGCCCTTTATGATTGTTCTTTTATTTGCATTAAATTGATAACATGAGTATTTTTCACAAATATTCTACTGGAAATATGTCTCAGAAACCTACTTTTCACGAAAACAATGTTTTCTTCATGCAAATACTGCCGTTTAAAAAAATTCACACTTATCTGTTTTTGTTGTACTTCAGTCATAAAGAAAATAATAAAATATATACAAAATAATGATGATCAATGAAAATTTATTTTGAACTAATTGTCTCTGGCACTATACTCTCTCCAACTCGATGCTTCTTGTCTATATACCAACAGCTGGCAGTTGCTCTCTCTTCCAAGTGTACAGTCAGAACCACGGACCTAAACATAGTTTACTGAAAAGAGAGTAGAGTTATAAAGTACTCAAGCTATTTTTCCACATTCTGATGTTTTATGATGAAAGAAGTAAAGGAAACACCAATTCCCTCTAGCAGTTTAATAATAACTCCATCCTTGTCTGTATATGGGAGTAGTGGTATCTACAGTTCCCAGAGGTCTGGTATCACCACTCCTTTTTCTTAACATGTCAAATAAAATTTTCTCTTAGAACATTTGAATAACAAAATTTATTTTATAATGTCACCATAAATTATTTGAATATAGTATAATGAAATAAAGTTCATAATTTTTTAATTCCTGAAGCATATTTTAATCTGCTCCATTTCTACAAAATTCTGAAAAAGTTATCCAGTGTTCATGTGTAAATCCTATTTGAAAACAAACATTAAAATTCAACTTCAACATCATAACATGACTCTACATGATATAGCCACCATTCCTTTTACCCAGAATATTATCCACACTCAATCTCAGCACCACTAGTGAAAATGTTATTGTACTCATGTTTCTTCAGTTCATCACCTTTGTGACAAGTTTAATCGAACAATTTATCTTGAGTAATTTGAAATCCAGTGGTTCTCCCTGTTGATAAGTCCACTTTCACTAAAGCACAATGATGTTTAGCATATTGAGTAACATAAATCAGTTACATTTTTCTGCCGAAAATAGCTTTTGATAAAACACCTTCCTGATGGCCTTTTTCATTTCTGTATTTCTCAGGGTGTAGATTAATGGATTGAACATAGGAGCAATGATAGTGTAAAATAGAGCGAATATTTTGTCCTCAGGGAAAGTGGTAGGAGGTCTAAGGTAGGCAAAGATTGATGGTCCAAAAAACAAAACGACTACAGTGACATGAGATCCACAGGTAGAGAGGGCCTTGCGTCTTCCCTCAGCTGAGAGATTTCTTAAGGTGATTAATATGATGATGTAAGATCCAAACAGGAGAACAAAGGTTACCAAGGCAACCAGTCCCGAATTTGCAACCACAAGGATGCCAATGAGGTGAGTATCAGTACAGGCAACTTTCAGCAAAGGGAATATATCACAATAGTAGTGATCAATTTCACTAGGGCCACAGAAAGGCAACCCAATTATCATAGAAAACTGGGAAAAGGAATGAGCAGCCCCACCAGCCCAAGCAACCATGATAAGGAGATTGCACCTAGTTCTGTTCATGATGATCGTGTAGTGGAGAGGTTTGCAGATGGCCACATTGCGATCAAAGGCCATAATTGTAAGGATAATGATTTCAATCATTCCGAAGAAGTGCATGGCAACCACCTGTAACAAGCAGTTACCATAAGAGATGGTTTTTCTTTCCACTAGGAGATCACCAATCAGTTTAGGTGTCACACAGGAGGTATAGCAAATGTCCATAGAAGACAAGTGACTGAGGAAATAGTGCATTGGTTGGTGAAAAAGAGAACTGCAACGAACAGAGATGAGGATCAGAAGGTTCCCTACCAAGATGGCAAGATAACAGAGTAAGAAGAACATAAAGCAAAATACTTGTATGTTCTGGTCAGAAGAAAGACCCATGAGGATGAATTCAGATATGTTCTTCTGACTTTCCATGTAATGTTTGTTATGTCCAAATAATTAAATACCTGGGGAGAAAAGTAGGATTTTTGGTTAGTATCACACATTTTGACAAGTAATTAGAGATTTAATTTCTATCTCCTATTTAAATTTCAGTAATAAATGGAAGTTTTAAAGTAAAATTCAGTCATAAATACTAATGGTGCAAAAACACAAAGAAGCTATTTGAAATTCAGAGTTAATTTGAATTAACGATTTGTGTGTTCTATCAAAATAAATGAGAGGCATTCTAAGTCAATAAAAGATGATGGTACAAGATGCAAATGTAATAAAAGCTTTTTGATCAAGAAGTATTCAGCTTTTATCTGTTAACATGATTTATTTGTGGATTTGCATTTATTATTTTCTGCATTATCACAATAGAAATTACACAAAGAAATGTAAAGGTGCACTCCAGGCAGCATATGCAATTCTTTTTTTTTTTTTTTTTTTTTTTGACAGGCAGAGTGGACAGTGAGAGAGAGAGACAGAGAAAGGTCTTCCTTTTTTTGTCGTTGGTTCACCCTCCAATGGCTGCCGCGGTCAGTGTGCTGCGGCCGGCGCATCGCGCTGATCCGAAGCCAGGAGCCAGGTGCTTTTCCTGGTCTCCCATGTGGGTACAGGGCCCAAGCACTTGGGCCATCCTCCACTGCACTCCCGAGCCATAGCAGAGAGCTGGTCTGGAAGAGGGGCAACTGGGACAGAATCTGGCGCCCCGACCAGGACTAGAACCGGGTGTGCCAGCGCCACAAGGAGGAGGATTAGCCTATTGAGCCACGGTGCCAGCCAGCATGTGCAATTCTGAGTTCTATCCATATTAAATCTCTCCTGAAGACATTCCAGTCTCCCTTTTCAGTACAAACAGAAACAGATCATTTCCTAACATGTGTATACAAGTTATAGTACCAGCACAATACTTAATCATTTTTCTTATTTTTAACAATATTTTGTGAAAATCGCAGTGTAAAGACACTTCACTTAAGAAAATAAATGACTGCATGCATGCCCTTATATAAAAGTACATGAGGCAACTAAATGTATCTTAAAAATAAATTATAAATAATAACCAAATCTGTTTATAAAAATTACAAGAGAAGTTCTTTTCTATAAAGAAGGAATCAATAAAGAGAAACTGAGTGAACTTTCCAGCACAGAGAATGAATATACTGTAGAGTTTAAAAGTAGTTTACAAGGGCTGAGAATTCTACCTAGCAGCTAAAACACCTGCTACAGCCCACATCTGAATGTATGGGTTCAATTCCCAGACCTGGCTCCTGATTCCACTTTCCTGCTAACACAAATCATAAGAGAGAGAGAGCAGTGATGACTCAACTGAGGTCCTCCTCCCAGATTCTGCTTCAGTGACAGCATTTGGGGTGCAAATCAATAAATGAACATTTCTGTCTCCCTTTCCCTCTCTTCTTCTCCTTCTCCCTCACCCAGAGCCTACTCTCTTCTAAAAGAACTCCAAAATAAGCAGGAAAAAAATCAAATAGTTAGATTCCTGCCACCCTCATGGGTAACCTATATTGAATTCCTGGCTCCTGGCTTTGGCATAAGCCTGGTCCTGGCCATTGTGGGCATTTGGGGAGTTAACTAGTGGATGGGATCATGGGCTCTGTCTGTCTGTATCTCTGCCTCTCAAATAAATAATTAAAATATCTAAAAAAAGTAGCTCACCCATTTCTTATGTAGCTCTTTGCTACAAGGAAGGGAACATGTGTCAGAGAGGAAAGCAGTGGGAGGAACTACCACAGTTCTTATTTCATAATTGGTGACCATGATCACTGTAAAATACATCACAATAGTTATAAGAACAAATTTGCACTGCTCCATTATTGCTTTAAAATCATTACCATATCAGGTTTTCAGTTTCATCAACCTGACTGATAATATTCCAATCTGTTGGCTGAGGGAAATCAATTATTATGCCTGTTAGAGGCACTGGCACAATAGCAATGTGAAAAACTTCAGGCAAGAAGAATTGCATTCAGTCAGGGAAAGAAATGACATTTTCTTGGAATGTTTAAGTCATCACACAAGTAAATGAAGAAAACATTTTGAAGTAAAAGTATAAATGGCTTCTAGGGAATCAATACAGCATGAGTTGCAAATAATGCAGAGAGTAAAATCTGTGCAAAAATTTACTTTCATGAATTAAAGCATAGTCTCTAAGACAGCTAACTTTAGATACTATGCTAGGGAATGCCAATCACCTCGAGGGTTCCAGGATTCATATATGTGACACGAGGTGAAATAATGTGAACTGGAGCGTGGCTACTGTCTGGTTTGTTGCAGTCTTTGATGTTGAGGCTTATGCAGAAGCCGGCAGTTAAGCAGAAGAGACAAGACATCCTATGTGGAGTTAGATAATCTCCATACATTACTCCCAACATTCATTTTATAGATCTTGTTTTCTATTACTATTCATGATGAATTTTAGCAAAAAAATTAGGATTATTTTTAATTTCTGAATTCATAAGACCAATTCTCAAGTCACAAAACCTATTTCACAAGAAACTTAGCTTCCCTGAGTTTCACCTTCTGTTAACCAAAATAAATACAACAATAAGGGGAACAATGAGGAATATATGAGATTATGATATGAATCAAAGGTACGTACCTAAAAACTCACTTGTATTTTCTATATCCTTCTTTAAATTGAGGGAGTAAAAATGAGGTAAATTGTCCTGAAACAGATATAGACTCTGTAAATATTTTTAAATAAAATGAAAACTAAAATAAAGGTATTAGATTTAAAACAAGAACTAATTTGAATGTAGTTAAAGTTTGGGTGGCAAAAATAAAATCAACATGAAGTTATAATTGTTTTAAACTAGAGAATTTCTTAATATTAAATTTAAGTGTGTCTATTTCCAACCTATCAAAATTATAGATTTTATTTTAATAATTTATGGTATTGTTAAATAGCTCTGCTCTCCCTTTTTGAAGAACTCTCAGTGCTGTAAAATTGCTCCTTCTATACTTTAACAAGGCTCTCTCTATATATAACAGAACATAATTCTATTGGTGTCATCAGCATGCATCTTACCATAAACTTACTTTATCCAATTTCAGTGAATATAGACAATATTAGTTGAATTGTCCTTTGAGTTGTGAGATTATCTAGTGTGATTGCAGAACAGAAAGTCACTGAAAATCTCAACATCATCTAATTTTAAATGTATATCCCAAAATTTAAACTCGGTAATGGAAAGCTAAACATTGTGAAAATAATTTACTATCATTCAAATTGTTATAGAGCACATCAATATGCATACCCTAAAATATATAAATGCTAAAAAAACTTATTTATTACCCAACAAGTATTATAATATTATTACCTGCACATCGATTGTGGATGGTGTTGAAGTTAGCTTTATGTTACTCAGGAAATTATTTAGTTCATACATTTATTTCCTTGAGTTACATAGTTCCTTAGTGTTTACACCTGAAATAAAAGGTAAGATTATAAACCAGTGATTCAAATCTAAGCCATAACTCTAAAGATGGCTTCAAGATTGCTCTACTCACTTATCTGTGAGGAAAAGACCATTGCTTTGCCAGCAGAGTGAAAAATACCTTGGACTCACCCTGAAGTATCTATTCATTCTGCAAGGGCATGACTGAGGATTTTAGTTGATGATACAACTTCTTGACTCCTGCTTATACAGAAAAGTAAACATGAACATTTTGAAAGATGTGCTAAAGCAGCATGTATCATGTCTTATGCCTACACCTGCAGGAAATGTGTGCTGCAAGAGCCAACTAAAGAAAGAGAGATCATAAGAATTTTTTTCAAAGTTTGAGAATTGTTTTCCCAGAAGCATATCTTGAAAGATTTTCATGAAATAACACTGATTGTCCAAGGTATTATTCCTTAATTACCTAGGGAATTTTGGGATTGTAAATCGACTTTCTACTTTCTGCGTTATTCGTTCCCTGTGCACTGTGTCTCCAGGGACTGGTACTTTTATTCACTCAGAGAACCACAGGAAATTCCATGAGTTCTAGCCAACTTCCTCCTCTAAAAATCATGAGGAAAACTTGGACACACCCAGGGAGCATTGGATTTTGTATAGAGCCCTCTATTTCTGAAGAGGAAAAAGAAAGAAAAAAATCAGAGACAGAGGCCCTTATATAATCCCAACAGAAGCCATTGACAAAATTAATACAGATCACGAAAGTCAGTAATTCCATGCTGTGTTCCACTACCCGCCCCCTGACCAGCAGCCACACCCACAGTGACCTGAACTCCTGCCATGGAGGTTTGGGGTGTGAGACACAAAGGAATACAGGGGATAAACCAAACAATACACAGAAAACGCTACACTGTGATCAGCAGGTTAGGACAAGGCTTGCATTTTTGTTGAAAAAACAGTTTTAAAAAAGGCAATTTTCCTTGAGTACTTCCATTACCATGCAGTACACAGACTCAGAATCATCTTCACTGAAACTCAGCTGGACTTCTTTCTCGTGAGCAAAACTCTGTACATCACAACACTCATGTGAGATTTCACAAAGTCAATATTTTATAACAATGTTTCTAAATCAAGTCAATTCACTTAGTAAAAAGAAATCATCATACTAGTTATGAGATTTTTTTAAAAGATTTTGTCTATTTGAGAGGTAGAGTTACAGAGAGAGGGAGAGACAGGGAGAAAAGTCTTCCATCCACTGGTTTATTGCCCAGCTGGCCCCTGCGGCTAGAGCTGGGATGATCTGAAGCCAGGATCTTCTAGGTCCCCCACATGGATTCAGGGGCCCAAGCACTACTTTCCCGGGCCATCAGCAGAGAGCTGGATCTGAAGAGGAGCAGCCAGGACACAAACCAGTGCCTTGTTATGAGATTGTTTTCAGGAAATTTACTACATGCCAGTAACTGTTTTAAAATTTTAAGTCCATTATGACTGAAATATTTTAAGAAATTTTAATGGGATTATTTTCCACATGAATTAGGTGGAACATATTTTTTCTAGACACTGCAGAATTTGCTC